GTTGGTGGAAAAGCTGGACGATATCACGAACACGGGCGTCAACAATTCGCTCGAAGATTTTCATAGTGTGCGAGAGAAGGCGAATTGGACGGTAGTTCGAGCACTCTGCCGGGTTGCCCTTTTCTTCCAAATCGGGATCGTCACGCTCTGCTGCCAGTCCTTAGGCACCTTCTTCTCTTCGACGATCTGGTTGAAGAGTTTCGTCAACCAACCCGCAGGAAACCAGCGACTCCACAAATCAGCTGCGATGTCGTCGGGGCCTGTTGCTTTGCCGGCCTTCATCTTCCTCAGAGCAGCTTCGGTTTCCTGTACGGTAATCCTCTGAACGGGGCCATATGTTGGTGCGGTACAGGGTATAGCGGGATGGGCGAATTCACGCGTTGAGATGCCCTGAAGTGTGCGCAATTCCCTTCCTCGGTCCATCAGAAGCTGCCATCTCTCATCACTTAAGCGAGACTTGGCAGCCCGTACAGGTACCGCTCACCGTCTGCGCGGATAGCCTTGCGCTTGATTTCCGACGTCTCCAGCTTCATTGCTGGTGTCATCGAAGGTGACGGCGGGCCTTGCAGCAGCACGGCAGCCGTCTTTGCCACATTCCTCGACCCTTCCGATACTTGCCGCCAGCTCAGAAAACCGGACTTCTCCTCGGAAACGCAGTGATAAGAGCTACTTCTTTTCTCGAAACCTTTCGCTTTAAGACATCATCCGTCCAGAGCCAGCGCGTCTTTTGTCTAATCCTCCGCATACAGAGTATTCGTTGTGCCGAAGTTCGGAGCGGGGCGGCCTGGATTATAGAATTAACGGCTTCGTTCCAGGTCTCCTGAACAGTTGTGACTTCAGGTAGTCGAATACGAGAAATCACAGCTGCCTCCCGCTCTTTCAGCCGCCACCACTTGATTCTTTCAGGACCGCTTCGTTCAGCTACCTGTTTCTCCGCCTGAGAGCTAAGAGGGCGAATGACATTGTTGAAGAGAGGATATTCTTCTCGAGTTGCTTTGATGTAACAGCCCAAAGTTGCTACCTTAACAGTCGGGTCCACGAAAAAGTCTGGTTTTCATTCCAAGGTAGTACGCCCATACATCAAAGCGTGCCTTGGCGACTGAGGTGAGATTGATGTCCTAGACGGTGGCGGACGTTGTCGGAGGCTGTGCTCCGAATGTTGGAGGTCTTCCAGATCGAGAGTACTGGTCTCCAGGTAGCTATCCATGGGTGACTCCACACTAGAAGTTTCGCAGCTGTTTGGAGGTGACATGAATTCCAAAGGTCTTCTCCAGTCAGGCTGCGACTGGAGATGACTTCATATTTTGGTGTACATGAAGGTGATGGGCGAGAGCCAGCTCCTGCTTATCGAGGAACATCTTGGGTATCTTCCCTGGTACTCGTATCCACGTCTTCTGTCTGGGCTGCGAAAACTTTGCTGATATGTGACAAAGTGACTTTTTGCCCCTCCCCCTGTGTACTCATTACCTTTACTGAGTAGTAAATAATTACAGATTATGGGTCAATCCTCTGCCTTTTTTAATACCAGGATGCTTTGCTTTCTAGCCTATGGAAGGGCTTACAGCTATTACTTACGGTTCATGAAGCTGGTCGCTATGCTCGCGTTTTATTGTCAAGCAGCAAAATGTCTCTGGTCGCATCATTTTTTAGGCCTCGCGAATTTTGTTCAAGCAGCAAATTTGTCTAAATCCTTTTCTTTTGACTCTTGAACGTTCATTTACCAGTTCACCTCGCGACCTGATTGCTCGCAATAGGTTGCGAGGATAACGACTTAGGCAACCTGCGGGAGGATAGAGCAGTTCTGGTGACACTGATAGGCGACGGATGGGAACATAAAAGACTGATGACAGGGAATAACAAGGTAACAGAACAGCGAACGAGAAATCCCTATCGACAAAGAGATAAATTTCCCGTTGTGAGTCCGAATTAGAAGTTAAAGCGTTCACGAAAGGGCGCCCAGACTATAACGTAGACCATTGAAGCAGCATTGCGCTAGAGCATTTTCAATAGAAATTCACATTTTCCTATAGCCGCGTGTGTAGACAATTCAGATTATTAGTAGTACTGCATCAGTTCTATCGGTTCTAAAAGAGGAGCTAGTCCCTCGCGGGTACATGGTCGAAGATCAGCGATGATGTCGCGTACGCCGAGAGGTCGAACTGGACCTAACATTGTGAGAATTGCGTTTAAACCACATGCGGATCATACTAGGGATTCAGACGTCATGGGAGATTGAGATGCGTGCCCGTACTACCTTGTAATAACTGTGGGTCTCCGCTACACTTCTAGCACGCTAGGGCGCACCGCTTGTAGCGGCCAAGTACAGCCCTCCTGATGGAATTCTACACGAAGCGAACCCCAACCAGGACATTTTCTACTGTGACATTCGAAATTCCCGGTGAGTTCGAACATGGAAAAAGTTTTCCTTGGTAAAAAAATGTGCCTGGCTTCTCGATGGCGATTTTCTTGAAAACAAAGAAGAGAAATCACATCATCGCAGGAACAAGTCAACCAGACAGCTTGGATGAGACGGGTGGATTCGTTTACTCAATTCATTCTCAAATAAAACTGCAATTTGTGCGCGCTCAAATTTTCTGAAGAAACAAGAAAAATCAATACCTGGACAAAAACAGCATCTCCCTCCCGCAAACTGCTTAGGAAGTCGAATCTCTCAAAATCTTTGTATAGAGGCACCCGTTGTTCGCACTCGATGGCAAGAAAAAAGGTTTAAAAAGGGGGGGGGCCTGAATGTTGTGCATCCCCACAACAACCAGTAGCAGAATCAAATGCGCAGTCGAGCAATAGTGATAGAAGTAAGTCCTAAGGCATACATTGCTTGGTCGTCAGTCAATCGCATCACATTAGTCTTCGGAACGACTGCGTAGACACAAGGGTTCAGCACATCACGAGCTAGAAGAGCGTCCTTACGTCGAGACTCATCATGCTGCCTTCTCAGAAAGTCCACGATCCGTGGATCGTCAAGTTCAGAAAGAGGTTTCAGCAGAGTTCCAGGTCGGATCTAAAAAGGCACGCTTGTGCAAGATCATATAAAATTATCAATGTCAATGTCTCAAAGTCAACTGAGACCCTAGCAGTTTAATATGCCTACTAATTTGAAAATTACACATTTTAAGATTGATGCGGACACCGCGAAAGCTTACTAAAAATACCGAATATCGACGGATACCTGTAGTTTTTGAACATTCCAATTCAGGATGAATAAGATCGAATCTGAAGCCTGTGCCGGGATATTCAAGCAATGCAATTGACGATTCGTCTGGAGAATACCTGCCATTCCTGAACAAGCTTTATAGACGGTAAGAAGATCACGAAGTCATTGTTCCCTGATTCAATACTAAGCTCAAGAGAGTGAGCAATTTCTCGTGAGAACATTTACATGTCGCGTTGATTACCATGTAATTATAATTGCGATTTGCATGCAATTCAACGCAGTGATTTTGATCAAAGGGAGGAATGAATCCGCTCTTCCACCCCACTACTCTATCCTCATTAGTCTATGCTTCACTACTGGAAAGTACTGTACTGGGAAGTCCTATACCGCGCAAAAGAATAGGTAAACAGCGCGTTTAGACTTCCGCGATCGCGATCGGATTGCTCGACTGGATCGCGCGACCGCGAAGTCTTAAATAAAGCGCTCTTTCTATGTCCGGCGGCGCTCCGCCCGCCAATCGGTGTTTGAACCGACATCCTTCAAACGGGTCGCGTTCATGCACTGCTCCGTTTTTCTTCTATCCTTCTGTGCACGCATGAATTGCCTTTACTGAAACGTTCTGCGAAGTATGTTGCTTCCTAAAGGGTTGTGTTTTGCTATTTTTCGCTTCGAGTCGTATACTTTGCATTCTTTACGACGGCTCTCCGATTAGCAGTGTAGCGCTCCTGATCGCGATCGCTCGACTAGATCGCGAGTCTATACGCGTTCTGTCTAAGGAATGGTGATGTCGAAGCGATAAAACCTTATCACCAGCTTGCTCATGAAAAACAACACCGCCCCATGGATCCAGGCAGAATACATCACCATTACATTACATTGCCACTTATCTCAATGCGGCTCCTAACGACGACCGTGCGCGTTTTGACGCTTTTCAGTAAATCCCGCGTTGCAGCGTGCATGCTTTTTCGAACGCGACAGGCGTGATGCGCAAACGAATTAAGCGGTTTCACGAGGACCTTTTTCAGAATTCGAATAGCGAAACATTTCTTCAAGCTCAGCTGTGGAATGTAAAACCTGTTCTTATATAAAAAGAATTATTCAGAAAAAGGTCACCGAATAACGACCCCTGTAGAATATCCCTGGCACTGTTTACTCTTCTTTCGAAGTTTCAGTGAAAACTAGGGCACTCTTACACATCACTGCCCCAAATTTCTCTTAGTTATCCTAACTTCCCCCAGAATGTCCCCTCGAAAAATAGGAAAACTCTTCTCTTCTGCTGGTAACTTGCCTCCAGGAGTTGTGATTTACACAGTACCTATGGAACAAAGAAAACATTCGGTAAACTTCAGTATTTGATCTGCCCTGTTGACCACATATACTACGGATAGAATGAGTAACGAACTGTAGAATAAATATATAAATCCACAAAAAACATGCATTTGTGAAGAACATGGGTCTGGTGAGTTTCATACATACTACATAAACGAGGTCGCAAGTGGTCTACTAAGCGTGGTGCGCATATGAATCACGCGGTCGTCAACATTTACCAAAGCCTACACCCCAGAAGCTCAACCCAAAGCCACACAGATGAGGGATGGTAATCAGAATTTTCTGAAACATCGGGAAATACTCGCTAATAAACTGATGGAACAATACATAAAGCCTCAAGAGTTACAATATTTGCATAATTACAACGATACCCCGTATTATTCGACGTGCTGACATCGACAACGGCCCCTCTTCTCGCTGGTTGAAATCGGAGCGCTCTTCCCATTGTAAGCGTTCTGCTCTTCCAAACGGCAAGGAACATGAGCAGAGCAACTGTGGGGTATAAACGTATCATTTCGTTGCGTTGTTGTACTCACAGCAGCCATTCGCATAAGATCATTCTTGAAAAGCGATTACTTGAAGCCAGTTCGAAGAGAATCATCAGCTAGTGGCTTACAGAGAGTTCTTCATCGTCTAGCTCCAACAGAACACCATTCCATATCTGCTCGTCTGGATGCACCACAGTTGGCTCCCGCAGCCGTGGCGATGTGCCTAACATTATGCAACACCATACAATAATTTAAACAGCGGGATGAAATAAATAATCTGAAATGGTCCGCATTGTAGCATGTTCGTTTTTTAAAGGATCATTACAGGTGAGTCCAAGGTACCGAACTGCATTCAACTATGTCTCAAAGACATGCCGGCGATGCAACGGTCCTGTTGAAATCCCGTCCATTTGGCGTCGTAATCCGCATTCGCAAAGAATGTAACACTTCCGTCACTCGAAGCGGCGACATAAAGAGACTAGAGACGCGTGATCATTGCAACCACTGGGCGCAGCTTCGGCGGCAGGGAGGGAGCGGGGCATTTTGCACTTTCGTTGCCTCACTAATTCCAGTTTACAGTCTCACTCTGGTGAAACCTGTGAACTCTTGTGAAGCTGAAGCAAGGTTGTCAAGCCATCACGGTAAAACTTGTCGGCTCTAAAAGAGGTTGTCTAGATAGGTCGACACGTCGATGGGAAAAAGAAAAAGTGCTGAGTGCCCCCCCCGTCGCTGAACTGCGCCCAACCACTGCAACCACGATTACTTTCACTCTGCAAGACAACGGCTTACAGTGAAATTGCGCGTGTACATAGCGTTTCCTGGAGCGTCGTAGGGCTATTTCATATGCTCTTACAGGGAATCGGTTGCAAGTGCACTGCTTGGACTGCGGTTTGTATCCTCACGATGAACTCTGTCCACGCGCCGGCCCCTCTGCTGAGGGGAGGTTCTTTGTTCAGGGTGTTTCCAAGGTTTTTCTCGCTTCCTCTTCTCTCTCTCTCTCTTTCTCCTTCTTCTCTCTCTCCTCTCTCTCTCTCTCTCTCTACTGGGGAGATAGAACATATTGGGCCACTGGTCATGACTAGAGCAACCCAAACACGCCAACGCATATCGCGGAATTGTCTTTAAACAGAAGTCTGCACAGATGGGATCACACAGATAAGAGAATTTTCACCGAAGCATTTGAAATGTTAACGATAAAGCATTTCGCAATGACATCAGATAATAAGATAAGGAGAAGCTTCAGCAGTGATGAAAAACAAGAAAGTGCTTTGTTGTCAAATCAACGAAGAAAACGAAGTCAATTACGAGAATAAGGTCGCCGTCGATAAACATCCATCATACTAGAGTATCGGTGAAAACGGTGAAAAAAGTAATGGGGCAATTATTATAAGGAGTCTTACAGCGGCTTTCAGTGTATACAACGCTGAAGCTGAAAAGACGCCTTCCACTTGTTTAACACTGACAATCGCCGCACAAACGCATTCTTACTTTACACTGTTTTGATTGTTTCACGGCGCAGGTTCGCGATCGTGAGCGAGGCGGGGGAGGAGGGGGGGGGGGTCCGTTTCGCATTTTAGCTGCCCTCACTGCGTTCAGGTTCACAAGTTTTCACTCCAGTAGGACCTGTGAACTCTTGAAGCTGAAAGCAAAATTCGTCGAGCACCATGGTAGCCTGCGAATACTCTCTGGATAGGTCGACACATCGCTGGAAAGTTGCGAAAGTGCAAAATGCCCCCCCCCCCCCCCCATTACCCTCTACAATCACTGTAACTGTCACGATTTTACCAAAAGCAAAAACGCAACCCTTGCCTTGGTACAATACAGAAATACTTTGTCAAGGGCAAAAAAGAAAACTAACTCTACAAATCACTTGTTGATGAGTAACCAATCAGGATTGTGACGCGATTCGGTCGCATGATGGTCGCATGATGACTAACTAGCCATTTGTGCAAACTTCAATCGCGACCTTAGTTATAAAATCATCGCTCACAGGGAAGATATAATGTCACGAGGGCCAATCTCAGGCTTCCGTCTGATAGGAGTTAGCCCTGTGAATAATTTTATCAATACTCGGTGCGAGATAAGTTGACTGACAACGAGATATGGCCCTGGGCCGCGTTTGCAATTAGCCAGTTTGAAGATTCAGAGAAATCGCTGAACTGAAAAAAAACGAATGATCGATAGGGAAGTAAAGGGCCAGGAAAAGTGATAGAGTACCTGAGAACATCGAAAAAAAATTAGATACGTACGGTGAACCCCTACCACCCCATTCAATGCGCCACGTGAGTGAGCTTTAATCGATACATATCATTTAGCTTTTTCGCCTCCGCGTCGGCGATTTTCCAGATTGATAATTAAGATTCTTTTTTGAGAAAGTTCGTGCCGCAAGCATGGAATGCGATCTCATAGGGAGAGGGTATCATGGCTGCTTGAATGGTTTAAGATAAGCAACACTATAGATGTGAGCATCTGAAGGCCTTCTAAGCCGGTGGTCCTTAGCGTTACCCTATTTGAACTACATTACAACCAACTCAGGGTGACAGGTGGACCTCCCTGATCGTCTTTGCTGAAGGTCAGCTTCCAAGGGTCTTCAGGACTTACAAGGGAGGTCGTTCAGGCCGTGGTGAGCTTTTTCAAAACGGTTTGTTGCATGTTGTAGGGGTCCATGCGAGGACCACAGCGATGGGGTTCATTTTTGCTAAACGGTTTTGGGAATGTCAAAAAAAGGTCAAAAACATTCGAAAAGAATGGGCTTTTTAAACCACCTTATTCCCCTCTATTCTAGCTGTAGCGTTGACAGTGTATAGTATGTAGGGTATTCTTTGAGCAGGCATGAAGAACAGCGCAAAATAAGGTCAAAATCCAAATGGTCTACTTGGCATGTGCTGAGTGGAGTTGCCGGCCATCCTGCCGTGTCTCTTCAACAGCGTCTTATCTCTAGTTTCGCAGTGGCGGATGCGTGGGGTGGATAGTGCGGACCGGGCTCTTCGGACTTGTGGGTTTGTGTGGATCGGATCCCACTCTTTTTGCAATACAATTTTTTGCATTTTTCACATTTTGCTATCTTGTGTATCCTTTATGCCCCATAATGTGTATGACCCGGATATACGCCATTTGAAGGCACATTCCATGCAGGGAACTTCACAAATAGGCCTCACTCAATTATTGCGCTCGCGAAATATAATACTATCGAAAAACTCTTCATGAAACTTGGGTTACGGCGGTTATCCGATGCTCTGATCATGGACACGACACTGATTTTTGAATATGGCGCAATGTATCGCTAATTTAGGGCAAAGGTTTTCTCGTACTACCATCATTATCAGTCTGCGCGGCGGGGCTATTTAGCGCCATACTAGGCCCCAGATGGCTTCCGCGGCAAAAAAATAAGTATCTGAACCGTGATCAGGACCATCAATTACCCCTACGTATAGAGTTACGCCGAGAAAA